AGCTAAAATGCCTTTAAGATGACACCATCATTGATTTTGTATCTTTTACATTATCGTAGAAATTTATATTTATAAAATGTAAATTGCAACTAGACGCCCTTAATCCCTTTCAACGATGTAATGATAATTATGATCATGTTTATCCTTATGTAACTTGGGGTAAATGTGTAAGATGATAAATTTTCTTTGAATTATTGTATTAATAAATTGATATATTTTTGAAATGCATTTCATTAATACATGTATGTATTTTCAAAAACAGGGATGATGACCATATAAATATTTTTCAATAAATAAAAGTGAAAACATATTTGTGGAAGAAACAAAAAAAATATTGGTATATGAATAGGCAATGTAAAAGAGTTTTTAAAGAAAAAAATATATATGGACTTTCTTTCACAAAAATAAAAATATAATAAATATATGGACTTTAAACAATACTCTTTTTTGCTCAAAAAAGAGAATTGTTTAAAATCCATATAGCATATACGTAAATCCATATAGCATATACCTACATGAAACCTTCTCTTTCCTTTTTATATAAACCCTGGAAGCATAAAATGTCATAAAAAATAACTTGGGAAAGCAAGTTATTAAAATAAACCATTCAAATAAAAAGCATGCATAAAGAATGAAGCCGAAACAAGGAAAAGATAACCTTTAACCATCAAAAAACAAGGAAAAATACTTCAGCGTGAGGTCAGATTTTCTTGTAAAGAACATGATTCTTATTGCATTCTTGACTATTTTCATTTTTATAGCTTTCAAACATTTCAGTTTGTTTGTTTGTTAATATGACACATTTTTGTTTCGTTAAATGTTACTATATTAGTGGCGACAGAAGAGGGAAAAAAAGTATTACATCAACATAAGTACAAGAAGAGCTTTTACCCAATAACGCACCAGTAGATTCAGTACAAGAAGATGTCGTTTAATGATAAATCTTTGTCATTCTAGTCGATCAACTTTCAGGCAACATCATCAAAAGATGTACGTGTATGGGATTGAATCTTCTGAAGAAAGATGTTCGAATCTGACGTCCTCTACTTTTACAATTTATCAAATTATAGATGGATCGCCAATACAATGGAATCTAAAGGAAAATGGTAAACTAGCTTTCTAATAATAAGTAAGAGGTCTTTTTCAAAAAAAAAAAAAAATGATAAGAGGTATGAGATATATTGATAATGTCTAACTGGCTATGGCTAGTGGAGAATTTATTCATGTAATATTCTAACTAGGTGATTTTCATGTGCTCATGCACGGGTATGAATATTCATAAAAGTAAAATTTTATAATAATTAATTGCTATTTAGTTTTATTTTTAATTTTGAATAAATTTATATTAATAAATATTATATTATTCTAATTATACATATGACTTTAGATATATCATTGTCGGTTTAATTATTTTTTGGATCAATAGTCGGTTTGATTATCAATTTGGTATTTAGGATAATATCTATTTTTCGAATTCAGCTATACTATTTTTATTCTAAATATAATAAAACTTTGATTAATTTTCTTATTTTCATTTCGGTTGGTTATTGTCTTATATATGTAAATATATTATAGTTAAATTATGTATAACTTAATATATATTGTGCTTAAAATGAAATAAATAATAAACCGAAGTGATTGATTCAAAATTACATAAAAGAATATAATGATAATATTTTGAAGTCTCATGCATATATATAAATTCTAACAACCAACTCTCGTGATCTAGCCAAACTATCTAACATAATCATATTGTTCTAACTCCTGTTGGTCTTGTTGGATATATAAAGTATTATTAGGCGAAAGGGGTTCAAAACCCTGTTGAGAATCAGTTTCACGGATTACCGAGAGACAAATCCATCAAATGATCTTTCGAATTTTGAAACCAAGAAATATCCAATGCAATCAATCGTACTTTTATTAGTCTTGAGGAAGTCCAAAATGTCAACAAGTACACCAGCTGCATCAAAACCTCAAGCTGGGGTACCAGCAGTGTACCATGTATATCAACCATATCTTCTCATTTTCCTATGCATCGAACCAGGACAAATCTTCTTCACTATCTATATCTTGGGAGAATGTGAAACAGAAACTTCAAACATGTGTATCAATATGCAATTATTAGTCTTAGATTTTTGTGTAACTAGTTCTTAACTGGAGTTTTTATCCATTCATTATTATACGAAGTTAGAATAGGTGTAGCAATAGATAATAATAATAATAATCAAACCCAAGCATGGTTATCTAGAGATGATATGCATAGAGTTCCCAAAGCTTTTTACTTCTCCACTTTCATCATCGTTGGCATTCTCATCTAATAGGCTCTTGAGCTTTTTAATCATATATATATATATATAACTGCATCCTTTTGAGAAATATAAGGGGTAATTGGTTGGTGTCTCTCTTTATTGTCCGAATTAAACATCTAGCATTACACCCTAAGTCTCCCAAAATAATTTACAAAAATTATATGAAAGCTTATACTCAGCAGTAGTATGTCTCTCCTTATGGTACTTTTCATGTCCACACGAAACACATTATATTAGCATTTAGTCCTGATATCTTAGAATTTGACAATAATTTTTGCAAAAAGTTGACGGAACAATGCAAGTAAATAATGCATTTGATAAGTATGGCCCGGTCTTGGGAGATGGCTCTTTATTTATAATGACTTGATACCCAAAATACAAAACAATAAATACTCGGTTGTTTTCTTACCTCAGTTAACGTTTATCCTTTTATATGTTACATAAAATGATGTTCGTTATTTTTTTTTCAAATTTAAAGGAAATTCTCATAAACAACACAAAAAAAATTGGTTAAATATAACATCTGTTTGTATATAACTGACTAACGAATTCAATATTTTATAAGTAATGTTATTATGTATAGAATAATATTAACTGCAAGTCTTAACGAAATGTAGGTAGTAAAATATACTTGTCAAAAGTTATACTTATACAGGAAGAAATATTCGAACACCAATCTTAAAGAGACGAATATAATAAGAGGCAAGAGTTGGCAAATATTTTATGCTCCGAAGAGGAACCACAAGGTGAAGTCATATTATATTTGATTTTTTACTATAAGTGTCAACAAGGCTTTCTATAAGAGGAAAATAAAGTATAAAGGAAACACTTTAGTTAATTGGTTCACTGACTTAACTCTAATATAGATAACTATGTGGAAGTATATATACTAAGAAGAAAAAACACTTTAAAGCCTTTTCCAAAAAAAAGAAGAAGAAAAAACACTTAAACTGTCTATTTATGTAAACCAAAGAACAGCCTCCCCCGGGAAGAAATAAATAGTCCTACACATACAAATATAATTTTAAATGGAAAAGGCGAGTAAAATTGTAAAGTATATTGAGAATAATTGTGGTGGACTAATGGAAGCGTACATAAATAAGAGGGGAAGGAACTTAAACATTCTCCTTCTCTCTCACACTCCCACACACACACTCGTTTCCAGTTTCGTTGTATATATACTAAATAATATACAAACCTCTATATAAATGAGCATGTGCAGATCCAACATGAAAAGCAGTGGGTCTGGAGAGATTGTAAACGGAGAATGCGATGTTTCCGTCAAAGAAGAAACTAGTGGCAACGCCAAATTCTCTGCTGGTCTCCGCCGCATCCCTTTCAACGAGGCTTGTTTCTATTTCCTTCTTTTTTACGTTTTTTCCACAAAATATTGTCGATTAGTTTGGACAATGCTTACTGTTTGATTCATACTTCTCATTTGTGAAACTAGTTTTTCGTGATTCAAGATCATATTCACATGTTATGGAGATGTTATCTACGTTTTGATATTTACTTATTCAATGTTTAACAAGCCACTTAGTTAATTTTGATGGACTATATCATTTTCAGTCACTTTTACAGTTTTGGGGGTGATAAATAATATGAAATTATTGGAACTTGATCTTAGACTGGACTGAATGCTGCTTTTGACTGTTTTTATAGCAATTCAATGGAAAGTAATGCATCGCTTCTAGAGCAATCCAGTTTGATGACAACTTAAATATCTCTACTTAGTTAACAACTATGTATTGAGAAATTGACAGACATTATATGTAGCTATTTTCTATATATCTGATGTTTGAATGTGAATGTGAAATTGTGAATGCGTGTATATTGATATTTATGTATATGCCTAAAGCGTCACTTGTATGATATGTATCCTCAGTTTCATGGACTGAGATATATGTTTTTGGGGTTGTACTTACTTAAGAAAGTTTTCTATATATGTTTCCTCATTATATTTATTTTCTTAGTTCCTTTAGTTAGTACAAAATACTTTACTATCTTATTAAATCCATTTTGATATAATCTTGCTTTTAGATTTATTTTCTTGAAATATTTTAACTTTAAAAAAAAAATATCAATAGTACGTACATTACATTTTTTTTCTATACGATGTTGTGTTCGTAAAGTATTGATATTTCTAGTGAAATTCATAAAATGAAAGATATCTAAGCTGGTTTATTTTCAAAAAAGAAAATAAAAAGGTGAGCTTTTTAGAACCCATGATGACTTTTATTTAAAAAGATCCTAGAATGTTGGTACAGTTAGTCATTAGCTTTTCTGTCACTTGTGAATTTGATTATTCAGTTCTAAAAGGTATAGGATTTATACCTTTTTCTCTTCTTTTTGAACTTTCTCATTCCAGTCCCAGTGGCCATGTGATGCGACCATCTTCCTCGTGCTTCCAAATTGCTCTTAATTCTTTATGATAAATATTCTTTTCGTATTATATGCAATATCCTTCTGTGTGATCACAATAAAATTGTTTTTGTGCGTACTTCTTCTTTTTTGACAAAATAGCTTTTTATTCCTAATGTCATTCTTATCTCGCGCTTCTTTATATATAATATTTTCTTGAATGTGTTTTTTTTGTTAACCTTGAATGCGTTTTACTATAAGTCTAGATCAGTAAAATGATAAGTAATTCAAATTACTAATAAAAACATCACAACTTTTTTACCAATGCAGGTAGGAGAAGAAATGGCGTCACTCACAAAAATAGCATGCCCGATCGTGATGACATCACTCCTCATTTTCTCCAGATCATTAATCTCAATGTGGTTTCTAAGTCACCTCGGAAAAGTAGAACTCGCTGGCGGTGCACTCGCCATGGGCTTTGGAAACATCACTGGAGTCTCAGTACTCAAAGGTCTTTCCGTTGGTATGGACCCAATCTGTGGCCAAGCCTTCGGAGCCAAACGTTGGACCGTACTTAGCCACACGTTTCAGAAAATGTTTTGTCTCTTAACAGCCGTTTCTATACCAATCGCCGTTACGTGGCTCAACATCGAACCCATATTCCTCAGGTTGGGTCAGGACCCCGACATAACCCGTGTCGCCAAAACTTACATGGTCTTCTTCGTCCCTGAGTTACTAGCTCAAGCCATGCTACACCCGCTCCGAACGTTCCTAAGAACGCAAGGCTTAACGTCACCTTTGACGATATCCGCAATCGTATCCATTCTTCTACATCCTCTATTTAACTACGTCTTCGTCGTGCGTATGCGTTTAGGTGTTGAAGGCGTCGCCGTGGCGATGGCTTTCAACACTATGAACATCAACGTGGGACTGCTTGTTTACACTTGTTTTTCGGATTCACTAATAAAACCGTGGGAAGGACTTGCTTTGCGGTCGCTTTTCCGCGGCTGGTGGCCGCTGCTTTCTCTAGCCGCACCAAGCGCTATTTCAGTCTGTTTGGAGTATTGGTGGTATGAGATAATGCTTTTTCTATGTGGGCTTCTCGGGAACCCTAAAGCGAGTGTATCAGCCATGGGGATAATGATTCAGACAACAGGGCTACTCTACGTAGTCCCATTCGCTATAAGCACGGCCATCGCGACCCGTGTAGGCCACGCGCTAGGTGGCGGGCAGCCTACACGGGCGCAATGTACAACAGTAATCGGTCTGATACTCGCAGTAGCCTACGGGCTATCAGCTGCGGTCTTTGTGACCGCGCTTAGGTCCGTTTGGGGAAAGATGTTCACGGACGAACCAGAGATTCTTGGGTTGATTTCGTCGGCGCTTCCGATCTTAGGGCTTTGCGAGATAGGAAACTCGCCGCAGACAGCAGCTTGCGGAGTTTTGACGGGCACTGCGAGGCCTAAAGATGGAGCACGAGTTAACCTATGTGCGTTTTATATCGTGGGCTTACCTGTGGCAGTAACGTCCACGTTTGGGTTTAAAGTTGGGTTTTGTGGGCTATGGTACGGAATGCTAGCTGCGCAGATTACATGTTTGGTTATGATGCTTTGTACGTTGATTCGTACGGACTGGGAACATCAGGTGAAACGAGCGGAGGCACTTACCGCCGCTGCAGCTGATAGAAGTCGTTCGGAAGAAGAAACCATCATTACAGAAGTCGAAAATGATGATGATTTAGAGATTGGTTTATTACAAAACACAAATGACTAAGTTAGAGTTGTTTAAAATTTTCAGTCGGAAATTTTAACGGATTGTTAACTATATATATAGGATTTTTTTCTTTGGGCAAACTAAAATACTCAAGATGGGTTTGCATCCAAATTGTTATAGCCAATATCTTGGTCAAAGAGTGATAGGTACCATTTAATTGGTTGAGCTAAGTTTTGTTAACATGTAAGCTAGTATATTGGTTATTTATTAACATTTTTCATACGGCTCTTCGTGTAAGTCAGAACTCAAAAGTAAGTTAAGATATAATTGTGACGAACTTTAATGATTTTCATGCAAAAGCCTCTGAATACTACATCAAACAATAAGGCCGACTCTCAGCCCAACCCAATCATAAAAGATATATGTTAGGCTATTTCTTGCATAGCTAGGATTGTTTGTTAGGAACGTACAATAAATAGTTTGAGGACGATCCATGGCGGGACGATCTGTGTATATATGATCTCTGAGTTTTAACATTCTTGAAACCTAAAAACATCTTCCTCTATTTTGCATCTCCTTCTTATAGTTTCTTTCAACCTAAAATACAAAACCTTTCTCTCATACCACTATCATGTCCTCATCCGACGACACGTTCGCTCCCGCTACTACACTGACACCGTTGAGGTTTATATAATCAATATCAATGGACAAAAACGCGCTTTTCGATGTAGAATGACCAGTGTTACTAAAACCCATTGCCACAAAATTACTTTGATGCAACGCCATTTCATTCAATTTTAAACCTAAATACTTCTATGTGCGCTATACAACGTGTAAAATTCAAAGACGCGATATCACCAAATACATCTAAATCGGATATAAATCCTAAAATAGTAATCGTGATCAGAAGTCGAAAGGGATTTTTATTTAAGTGACATCAAAATCCTAGCAAACCAGACGATTGCGGAAATGAAATAAAATGTAACTAAATGATGTTTGTTTCAGAGTTTTATAATCCAAAGTCAAATAGCAATGAATACATAAATACATATTTTAATTTAATTTAAAAATTTAAAAATTAACAAAATTCCAATATAGATAAATTGGTCTGCATTTCTAGATCCTGATGTAAAATTGATAAAGATGTTTCATGAAATTTATTGAAACTCCTAACGCCTTACACGTATGGAATCTGAGCATGCGTAGTAACTATTCGGGCCATATGTATTTACAGCAATATACTTTAAGCTTTGTACGTGTTGTGCTCACATACAATATGTTGCAGGCATCATTTCGGTGCCTAATTCTCAAGTTTTCACCGAAAAGAAAAGAAAAAGGCATAAATCATGTAGCCCCTCTCGGCACCGACGTTTTTGAATAGTAAGTACGATTTTTCTTCTTCCTCTTAAACAGTAAATAAGATTGCACATGAATGAAAATTAATCAGAAAACATATTTTGACGTGTTCCTATTGGGCTATGCATAGCCATATAGAAAATAATTAACACATCACCTGACCGGAAGAAACAGTACTTAAGAAAATATAGTACTAAAGATAAAATAACAAAATTACAATTTTAAATATAGCTAAATGCCGACAAAAAACATAGCTTAAATAAAGAATAATTCTTACAAAAGACTTGGGATAACACTTTTATCGAAAAAAGAATTAGGATAACAGATGGTGTAGTTTATTATAACTTATAAAGTTTTAAATTTAATGTGTATATCATAGAGTTATTTCAGAGAAAAATCATTAGGAATGTAGATAAAAAATAAACGACTCCATTTATTTGGTGTCTATTGAGTGAGAGTCGATATAATTCTAATACATGTATGTAAATTATAAATGTATCACTTCTATTTGAGATACAATTGATCTAGCCCCAATATATGAATATTAAAAGGTTACATTCTCATGTTTGATATTTTATAAAGCCAATAAAACAGCAAATTTATCATCCTTAAATAATGTTTCGGTATTCTCGCCCATAAAACTACAGCAATTTACTATCCTCAGTTAAAAGCTTTGTATGGGTGAATAACTTCACTTTTAATCCGATCACATTTATTAGAAGAAGGGCTTAAAGCTCAAAGCATTAGTTCATACAAAGGCAGGCCTCGACGTATATGGTAAAAAAAAACTTCACATAAATATATTTTTAGTTAAACGTTCTAATGGTTAAAAATTCTAATGGGTAACTTTTTCTTCTTCTTATGGTAAAAAAAAATTGACACGCTGTGGAGTTTCTTATTACCAAAATCACATACTACAGGTAAAATAATCAATTTCTGTAAATCACTATAGATAAAAGTCTACATAAAGGTCTAGTGAATTGTACAAATTTGCACCTAGTTTTACCAAAATAAGACTAAAAATAGTACTATGGTGAGGAGGGGAAGATCAAAGTGGTGGCCTTGAAAAGCAAAGCAACCGACACTGACCCCATCCTACCCATGTGTTGAACTGCATTCAATTTTGTTATGTATCAGTCAGATTTTTTTCACATAGTGACGAGCCGTATACATACATTCTAGGTATGGTATGCAAGGACAAACAAACCGACATATTTTCGTGTCTATATATCCATACGGAGAAATTTATATGAAAAAGAAACAAAATATTTTGGGAAAACATTTTAAATATTTTGATCTGGAAATATCTTAAAAGCAAAAGTCTATATATCAAAAACATAAGCTCCAAATGTGTGCTTAATTAATTTAAAATTCTTAATGCTTTTATGTTGACTTATAAGATTTAGACCATCTGATATATTTGGATGTTCGCTTGCAAGGATATTTATTAAGATTCTTCTTTTAAAGTATGCATCAGACATCATTTTACTTATTTATTTGATTCACAAAATATGCTCTTGGATCTGTAGCTCTCATAACACTTCAGTTTATACAAAGTTATTGTTTTTTTTAAACAAATAAAATGAGAGAAATATTGGGGGATTAAAAATCATTTGGGTTTTCTTTTGTTTTTTCTTGAAAGGGAGAAGGAGAACAAGAATTAAGCACATATGTACTATATACATATATATATATATATATATATATATATATATATAATCATGGTGTTAAACTGAGAGAGCACTATAGTATTTGCTAATAATATATCTCTCTTTATCAAACTATTAATACATCTCTAATCATATTTGCTGGGACTAAAACAATTAATGTACGTCATGATTATAGTTATATTTAAGATATTGAAATTTGATTAAAATGTCAAACGAAAGTAGACGAGAGTTCCCACATAACTAGGGACCTCTACATTAAATGAAACCAACAACCAACAAACTACTCCCTTTCTTCTAAATCGCATTCACATGCATAACATAAACTTTCTTTGTCTATATAAACACCCACTCCCCCAACTCTCTCTATCACTCATCACTACACACTTCTCATCTTACAAACAATCAAAAACCCATAATACTAAGAAAAATGGTTGGTCTACTGAAGTCGTTGGCATGCTTGGTCTTGGCCTGCATGATTGTGGCCGGTCCAATCACAACGAACGCGGCTCTGAGCTGTGGAACCGTTAACGGTAACTTGGCAGCATGCATTGGCTACTTGACCCAAAATGCGCCCCTCCCCAAAGGTTGCTGCACCGGCGTTACTAATCTGAACAACATGGCCCGTACAACCCCGGACCGTCAGCAAGCTTGCCGTTGCCTTGTTGGAGCCGCTAACTCCTTCCCTAGTCTCAACGCTGCCCGTGCTGCTGGACTTCCTAAGGCATGTGGAGTCAATATTCCTTACAAAATCAGCAAAAGCACCAACTGCAACAGGTATATATGTCTTCATCTCTTTCTCTGATATATATGAAATTTAAAGGTATTTTTAAAACGAGTACATAATAAACATTATTATGATTATTTACATTTTAAGATTTATTTTTGTTAAATGAAAAGTTCAAGTTATATATTAACTGTTTCCCGGTTAAACCATGTTCTAGTGGAAGATTTGAATTTTATACAAGTTTATATACATTGAGAGGCTTATGTTTAACGCATATTTGAGTATTTTATAACAACGCTGTAATGTTATTGTTTGTGGTTGCAGCGTGAGATGAGCGGTGGTCGGATGAAGAAACCAAGCGGACGTATGAATCTAATATAATGTATGAGAGAGTACTAAATAAGATGTTTGAATGGTTGTTTTCTAGAGTTTTAAAATTTCATGTTTTCTCTTCTGTTGTGTCGTTCCTTTAGTTTGGTCGTATGTACTATGTTCGTAGTCAACGTACGTCATATGAAGTTCAGATCCAAGGTTTAAGTTATTATATATTCTTAAATCTTAATAAAGCAACGTTTAATTAGTTTCATAAATATGTGAAAAAGTAATCATTAAACATAAACAAAAATAAAACAATCACTAATTATCAATGCAGTTGGGGAGTAACATAACATTTTAATTTTAAAGAAAATGAACTAACGGGACATTCTCCAAGTAGTTTACTTGTTAATAGATGAACTAACGGGACATTCTCCAAATAGTTTACTTGTTAATATACTTTAGTATTATAATTGAGAGAATGGACTTCTTGAAGGAGCGTGACAACCCTTGAAAAACTAGGGCCTACATTTTTTGTCGTCAACTAGGGATCTATTTAATATGCGGTGTCTACTATTTAAATTCGAGTTAGATTTTAGACTTATCACTTATACAATGGTGATTTGGACAACCAAATAGAATGACGAACACTAAGAAATAACATTTTCTTTAACCACACTAAGAAATAATATTTATATCCAATTTTTTTTTTTTTTATCATTGATCGTTAATTTTTCGTATATATACCTTGTTTGAAACTTTTCTGGATAAAGAAAATCTGGAGAAAGGAAAAAATGTCAAAAAAATTCAAATTGCATACGGTTCCAAAAGTTAGACACCTTTGATTTCTTTTAGTGTCAACGGTTAACTACAGCTTTTTATGGTAGTTAAATTAAAATAAAGGGAATTTCACACTTTCAAGGAAACTTAATTTTACAAAAAGGCAAACTTTAACAAAAACGAGTTATTAGGAAAGTATTTATTTGGCATATTTAGCACAATATTTCATTGATCTACCAAAATATGGTCT